TGAATATTCATTGAAAGGACGGATGCTGAAGATGAAACTCCAATACTTTGGGCACCTAATGCGAAGAATTGACTCATTGGAAAAGACCCTGATTCTGGGAAAGATTGAGGGCAGAAGGAGAAAGGGGACAACAGAGGATGAGATGGTTGGATGGCATCACCGACTCAATGGACATGAGTCTGAGTAAGCTCTGGGAGTTGGTGATGGACAGAGAAGCCTGGTGTGCTGCAGTCCTGGGGTCACAAATAGTTGGACACGATTGAGCTACTGAATTGAACTGAGAACTCAGTATGGCCTAGTAAAAATAAGGGCTTTGGAACTAGAGAAATATGAATTTGGGTCAGGGCTCTGCCATTCTCTAGCTATGTGATTTTGAGGACCATTGTTAGCCTTAGCTTGTAAAATGAGGCTAACAATAGTACTTAACTCATAGAAATACTCCTGGCAATACTCTTGGCATTTGAGTTACATGTTTAAGACTCAATAAATTTATTTATATTGGAAAAGGATTAACTGAAAAACTAAAATAGAAAATGTCTAGACTTGTAATATGGCTTTAATTATCATAATATAATACTTTTAATTAAAAATGAGAGAGCCTTTCCCCCACCTTTGTAAATATTGTTTAGAAAGTACTGACGTAGTAGGGCTGTGGCTTTCTCAGTGTTTTATTACAGTTAATGCCAAGACTAGAACTTTGCCTGCCATGAAAATTTGATAAATATTAGCTAATGATTATGGTAAACTTAGAAATTGATAGAAAAGGATGGGTGAAAACTCAATTCATAGAGTTTTTTTTCTATATCAGTCAAGCCATGTTCTCTGCCTCATATGGATGATTGCATTTAGTAGCAATTAGACTTTGTTCTGACATTAACTAAGTTTGTTTCACTTCTACCACAAATAATATTTCAGTGACATATAAGTTCAAAGAAATTGTTTTCCATAAACCTAACGGCTTTAATTGCCTAATACATGCAGAACTGATGATTGACTACCAAAGACTCCAAAGACAAACTTCATGAAGACCTGAATAGAACAGAGCTTCCAACCATTTCTAGTTATGAGTTGTGACACTTACATTATCCTTTTATATGTGTGTCTTGATATGAATAGGAGTGAGAAGCACTTGTGTAGATAGAGACCGCATTAATCATGAGTTAGTGGCTGGTCTTCACAGTTCTGCCTAGTCCGGTTTGGTCCCTTAGGGTACCTGCTCCCAAACTGTGTATGAATGGTTGGCCTCAATGGGAATCTGACTCTTAGCTTCTGAACTAGTCCTTTTTATCTGTATATGGTCAGCTCTGTCCCTTGCATTCCTGCTTTCATCTTCTAAAAATAGATCCATTCATTGCTATCAAAACAGCTTTTGTTGAATGCTACATCTTTAAGTACTGAGTTCTTGATACCCTCATTCTTAGCTAAATGTGCACATTTGTAATTTAGACATTGTTTTCCTGTATTTGTCCTACAAGAAGTAACATAGGTCATAGCCAGTCCTCAAGGAAGAATCTAAGAAACTTTTCTTCTCACATCTTTCATCCATTTTTTCTCATACCAGAAATCAGAGCAAGGAAGAATCTTATTTTAAAATTCACCCTGTGTGTATGATTTCCACACATTCTCCATCCAATAATTTATTCCACAAGCATATTTTGAATGTCATCATGTTTTAGGGTCAGGCACTGTGCAAGAATCTTGGTATAAAAATGAATACTATCATGTTCCTACCCTAAGAATTGTTTAAATTATTAAATATACAGACATGTATATGTGTATATGTACACACACACACACACACATATGGGCTTCCTAGGTGGCTCAGTGGTAAAGAATCCACCCACCAGGCAGGAGATGCAGGTTCCATTCTTGGGTCAGAAAGATCCCCTGGAGAAGGAAATGACAACCCACTCCAGTATTCTTGCCTGGGAAATCCCATAGACAGCAGAGTCTGGTGGATTATAGTTGATGGGGTCACAAAAGAGTCAGACATAACTTAGTGACTAAAAATTATACACACATGCACTCTGTTTCCTTCAAGGTCTTCATAAGATAAAGGTATATTTTTAAAAAGTGTCATCACTGCTGCCAATATTCATTTCACTCTCTAGTTGGGATATTTCCAGACAGGGTAAAGGGAAAACAAGGGAAGAAGCCAGACCCGACATACTTCTGGCTGGCATACCTCATTTATTGCTTTGATTAAAATGGGATAAATCATTAACCCTATTATCCCAACCAAAAGATGGTACTACTTCCCAAATCTTTGCTTGATATGTGTCTTCTTATCTTAGAAGATCTTAGTCATTTGTATCATTTGACATGCATCCTGTCTCTCCCATACCCAACTCCACCATACCTTACGCTGATCTTGCTTTGTATTCATTGTTCTTCTATTGTAGCACTTACTACATAATATTATAGACATATAGTCATGGATCAGCAATTGGAGCAAGGTAGGAACTGCTTTTAGACTTGGTCCCAAAGGTAGGATTTATCCCTTCTGTGCCTAAAAACTTCCATGCATTCATTTATTAAAAGGCTTAGATAAGTTATTCTTTGTGAATCAATCCAGTTTTAACTCACTTTCAAATGACATTTCCAACAAATCCTTCCAAGGCACAAGGAGCCCCATGGGTCTGCTGGGATTATTCACAACTTAAATGAGAAGATTGCAGGTCATGCTCTCAGCCTTGGGGGTTGCATCCAAACTAGGTACAGTGAGCTAGAATGAAATTACTGAAACACTCCCTGTGCCTTTGTGACAAATGTCAGTTCCTCCTTTGAAAAAGAAAAGTTAACTGTCAAATGCTGTAGCAGCATGAATATTTTTACTTCAGAGGACTCTGGTGAAATGGTACAAACCCAAAAGGTGGAATTGATTTTAGACTCTATTACCATATCAAAGAAATTTTCTGCTTCTTGACAAACATCATACCAAAAATATTTTAGATTCATCAGCCAAGGGCTTAGGACACCCTAGTGTGCGGTGACTATGTTTTCATGGCCAGGTGTATCTTGAGAATTTATGGGTCAGAAAATTGGAAAGGATGCAAAAGAGAAAACTCTAATTTTAAATGATGGACTCAAAATAATTTTCAGATTGATTTTCCATTCATAGTGTGCAGACTAGATTGACCGGAAGATCTGGTGAAATAAATCAGCCTGTGAGGTCTGACAAAGATGAAAGGATGCTGTTGCTCACACGGCAGTGTTCACAGGACTCCAGTTGGAGCTCACACAAAATCATTCCATCAGGCAGATTCGAGCCAGGTGAATATATGCAGTGTTAATAATTTATTTAACATTTGTTGGGGTCCCATGAAGTTTTGTTCAGTGTGCTCAGAAGGAATGTACATGGAGGAACATAATTTGAGTTGACAGGGAAGAAAGCAGACAATTTAAAGTGACAGCAAAGGTGCTAGAACGAGTTATGGAGTGACGCAGAAGGAGCAGAGGGAAGGGACGACTAACTTCAGAGGCCCATGGAAAAGCTCCAAAGGTGATATTTCTTAAAAGAAAAAATTATTTTCCAAGGCAGTTTAAGGAACCAGAAAAGGACTCGTGTAAATTTCTATTGCCTGTACCATAGAATGATGGCAGATACAGCCAGAGAGATTTTAGGTTAAACTGTAAAAAAAGAACTTCTATTCAACCATTTTTTAATTTGCATTAACTTGGATTCTGATAATGAAAGATTACATATGCCTTTTCGATAGAAACGTTAAGCTTTATCCTATGGAAAATGCAGAGCAAACCAAAGCTTTTAAGTCTGAATGACATGCATGGAATTGTTTCATAGTAGGATAGCCTTGGAGGAGATCGGAAGTAGGCACTACAGTAGGAAGAAGCTGATCCGGGAAAGCCACTGAGGAGACTATACACACAGTCTAGGCACAAGGTCCGACAGTCTAAACAAGGGCAGGACAGAGACTGAGAGGGAGCTGACGGGGCTCAATAACTGTCCCTTCCTCTTGGCCAAGACCATATGGAAGCTAGTCACCCAGTGAGACCAGGAAGGAAGTTAGTTCCTTGTAATGTAAAGCAATCCTGAATATTCATTGGAAGTACTGATGCTGAAGCTGAAACTCCAATACTTTGGCCACCTGATGTGAAGAGCTGACTCACTGGCAAAGACCCTGATGCTGGGAAGGATTGAAGGCAGAAGGAGAAGGGGACGACAGAGGATGAGGTGGTTGGATGGCATCATCAACTCGATGGACATAAGTTTGAGCCAGCTCTGGAAGTTGGTGATGAACAGGGAAGTGTGGCGTGCTGCAGTCTATGGGTTAGCAAAGAGTTGGACATGACTGAGCAACTGAACTGAACCGACTGAACATAAAGCAGTCATACTGGAGAAAAACGAAAAGCAGAGGTACTGGAGAGGTACTAGAGAAAAACTGGAGATTGAGAGGAGGAGAAAGCCAGGGCTGTCCCATTGTCTTTCTAGCCCTATAAGTGTCAATGTCTCTGTTTTTCTTCTCAGCTCTTCCATTACCTACTGAAACCAATTAACTGAATAATAGCTTCTCTGATAGATATACAACTGTAGCAGTGTCTATTTTCCTGACTGGAAATAGGAGAATTAACACAAGAGATACAATACACAAGAGAATCAATACACAATTAACACAAGAGAATCAATACAAAGGAGAATGTATAAGAATTAATGACCATGGATATGGAGGTAAAGAAGGAAGTGGTAGTAAAGACACTTTGAAGTCTTGAGGCTGAGTAAGAAAAATAATGCCAGTAAATACTCACTCTCTGAGAGTTAGAATGTGCCAGGAACCATTCTACATGCTTTACATATAATAACTCATTTAATCCTTACAACAACTCTATGAGGTAGAAACTTAATTTAATATAGTTCTACAGATAAGAAAAACCAAAGTTAGAGAGTTTAAATCATTTATCCACAAATTAGTAAATAGCAGAGAGCTTAGTTGGCCAGTAACGTAGGGAAAGGTTTGAGGAGAAGGATGAGACAGTGAGCTCACATCTGGGCATGTGGTATAGTTCCCGAACATCCAAGTCTAGATGTTCTGTAGTTGGAAGTACAGCCTGTAATTTAAGAGACAGATTAAAGCTGGGGGTGTGCGTCATTGTTGTATAACTACATGTTGAAGCTAATATAATGTCAGGTAGAAAAAAACTGGAAAAAAAAGGTTTAAAACTTTAGTAGTGGATGTTATTGAATAAATGAGGCAGATGAATTGGCCCGTTCTCTTGAATACAGTCTATGGACAAAATGACTGCCAGTAAGATGCCTCCCAAATTACCATGCTATGCTGCTATGATATAATCCCCAATTTTCCCTATTGTACCACTAACTTGTCACCACTTAATAAATTAGTATGGGAGTTTCTTGGCAGCACTGACTGTGTATATTTCATACAGTCAATCGAACACCAAGTATCTACTGAGCTCTTGGTAAATGGTTAGCTATATATTAGGTTCTGTAGGGGATTTAAGAGAAACCCAAGATACTGTCTCCTCCCTGAAGTACTTTACACAAGCAGATTTGTCAAATATTCTGTACCTCTATCTTATGACTTCATTGGAAGCAGTCCACACACTGAGAGGCTCAATCAGTACTCAGAGAACAGGTTTTTAATGACAAGGGGGTGATTGGAAATTTTTTCACATTTGAAAAACTCTCAGTTTGATAATTTAGGGTACTTTTAAAGATGTCTAAAATTTCCCATACACTTCTTATGGAACTTCTTTGTTCAAAAGGGTGTAAGTCATAAGATGAGGTCATACATTCACATTTTTTTTGAGCATTCTCCACATGAATCCAATGGGATAAGTCCTAAGGATACAAAAAGGGGTAAAACTGCCCCCCTATAAATGATGCAGAATAAAAGTAATGACTATAAAGCAGTGTGTTAAGGGCTACAGTAGGACTGCTCATTGACTGCTGTGAGAGGACTTCAAAAAAGCATCTAACTCAGGCAGGGAGGGGATATTAGGTCATGCCTGCAGGAGAAGATGGAGCTGGAGCTAAGTCTTAGGAGACAAGTCAGAATTAACCAGAGAGGGAGAAGGCATCCTGGACAAAAGTAAGCCTACTTAACAGCGTGGAGGTGTCAGCTAGGACGTTCAGGGATTGTAAACCAGAACTACTAGAATGAAAGGAGTGTGAGCAGATGCCACAAACTGTGAGTCTGAAAGGTTACAGCAAGATTGAAGCTGAAGGGCCATGTTAGTCATATGCAGGGGGTTCCTTACAGCCCCACAGGAGTGAGGAGCCACTGAGGGTTTTAATGAGGGGAATGAAATGATGACATGTAGCTGTAAATGAAATCAAGTCAGTGATATATGGGGAATGTATTTGCTGGTGGTTACGAGGAGTGGGAAGGAGTGGAATGTGGGGCTGAGACAGCACTTGAGAGGCTACTGCAGAAACCCGGGCAAAAAATATGAGGGTAACGAACGTCTTTCTCAAATCAGCCAAGAAGCCCATTCACAATGACCTTTGGTTCCGATGTGTAAACAGAAGGAATTTATTTTCCCTATCTTTCTTTTTAAATGATTATTATTTAATGTGGGTTATAACCCTTCCTGGAACAGTTCACTAAGACCCCCGGAAAGAGGCAGCCATTAAAATTAAGCTGAGTGAGATGGAAAGTGGGGCTGTAAAAACTCCGCCGCAGCCACCTGGAAACAGCAAATGCTAGGTTTGTGAGTCCTGGCAGGCTTCATGGGAAGGAACCCTGTACTCCCAGTCAAAAAGGAGGACCAGGAGCTGGATTTTCTTTTGAGTTTTCAGTTTTAAACTTAAAGCGAAATGAGTTACTAGGGTATAGAAAAGGGTCAATATCTGTCTCTTCTAGTTCTAGGAATATAAGCATTAAAACTCCTTCGTACTCACTAAAAGCAATGAATAGTAACAGAGTTGGAAAGAAATTGTCAAAGCCAATGGTATTAAAGTATAATTTTTGAAAAGATATAAACTCATAACTTCCAGACAAGTATAAAATGAACATACGTCAAAGATTTTATTTAATTCATTAGTTAATGAGGGAACAGTAAGATCCTAAAATTGGTCTTATGCTTATTTGAGAATCTGAGTATATATAGGCAATTTAATAAGTTTATGGGTTAGATACAAAATGGTTAATGTCTAACAGGTCTATAAACCTTTTAGTCATGTATTCTACCAGTCAGTAATTATTTGCATCTCTACTGGGCAAAAGTTCTCATGGTTACCCTTGCTCCTGAAAAGTTGCAAAACAGACAATCAATAGAAAGTCATACCCAGCACTTTCTTGTAATCAAAGGCCTGTCCCAATTGTTAGATAATTTTTCTGACAAAAGAGTTTTTGGTGAGAATGCAACTTTATATCTAGCATGGAAGAAACTACCAAGGATAACAAATTCAGATTTGGACATAGCAATACCATGATAACAACAGTAGAAAAGGGGGTTAAGCACATGTACTGACAAGTCAAAAAAGAAGAAATAAAAATGACCAATAGACATACTAAAAATGTTCACTCTCACAAGGATGTTTAAGAAATGTTAGTTAAAACAATAAGGTTTCAGTCCCCCACTCAAGCTAATAAAAGCAAGCTTAGATGAGGATATCTAGTGTTAGCAATACTATAGGGAAATAAACACTGCCATAATCAGCATATGGCAGTATAAACTGAAAGTAGCTCTCTNCCCCACTCAAGCTAATAAAAGCAAGCTTAGATGAGGATATCTAGTGTTAGCAATACTATAGGGAAATAAACACTGCCATAATCAGCATATGGCAGTATAAACTGAAAGTAGCTCTCTGGCTCCGACTCCAGTCCTTAGGGCTCCATTGTACTGCACTTCACATACCTGCTTAAGAGCAGAAAAATGGTATGAATAGGGAAGCTCACCTCTTCTCTAGAACCTTCTGGTTGTGCCAGGGTTATGATTGCACTACTCCCAAGTCTAATAAGGCAGAGAGGCCCCCAGAGCATCCAGAGTTAGCTTCCAATAGAGAAAAAATCTTTCATTTGTATCACTTGTTGGCAGAGAGGTTGTGGGCACTGTGAAAATGATCTCAGAAGGGAGAAGATGTGCCATTCCTTGGAATCAGAGGCTAGTACTGTTGCCTGCTCCCCTCCCATCACATCTCTCTTTCTCTTACACACACACACACACACATGCACATCACATTCCCCTAACAAGTCTTGTCTATCTAAAAAAGAGAACTGGTGAGCTCATTCACAAGATCAGTTCAGTACAGTCACTCAGTCATGTCCAACTCTTTGCACCCCATGGACTGCAGCATGCCAGGCTTCTGTGTCCATCACCAACTCCCAGAGCTTGCTCAAACTCATGTCCATCATCCTCTGTCATCCCCTTCTCCTTCCACCTTCAATCCTTCCCAGCATCAGGGTCTTTTCCAATCAATCAATTCTTCACATCAGGTGGCCAAAGTATTAAGAGTTACAGCTTCTGCATCAGTTCTTCCAATGAATACTCAGGACTGATTTCCTTCAGGATTGACTGGTTTGACCTCCTTGCAATACAAGGAACCTTCAAGAGTCTTTAACACTACAGTTCAAAAGAAGCAATTCTTTGGCGCTTAGCTTTCTTTATAGTCCAACTCATAACCATACATGACTACTAGAAAAACCATAGCTTTGACTAGATGGACCTGTGTCAGCAAAGTAATGTCTCTGCTTTTTAATATGCTGCCTATGTTAGTCATAGCTTTTCTTCCAAGGAGCAAGTGTCCTTTGATTTCATGGCTGCAGTCACCACCTGCAGTGATTTTAGAGCCCAAGAAAATAAAGTCTGTCACTGTTTCCATTGTTTCCCCATCTATTTGCCATGAAGTGATGGGGATGTATGCCATGATCTNGCCAAAGTAAGAAATGTAGGAGACATGAGTTCAATTCCTGGATCATGAAGATCCCCTGGAGTAGAAAAGGGCAACCCACTCCAGCATTCTTGGCTGGAAAATCCCATGGACAGAGAAACCTGGTGGGCTGCAGCCCATAGGGTCACAAAGAGTTGGACACGACTGAGCAACTGAGCACGTGTCTGTCTGTCTTGCTCTCTGTGTATCTATCCCTCGTCCATCAGGTAAAGGGAGGTGTTCCACCCTGGGTGGTGCAGGGGAGTCTGCAGATGCAGTGCTACAATAATGGGGATAGACTTGTAAATTCAGACAGAAACTGTTCTGCTTCAAGTTGTCTTCTCACCCAGAGGCTTGGTACAAATATGTTGCCGTTGCCGAGTTTATTTTTATCCTCCACATGTGCCTACAATTGCAGTCTGGGGCTGAGTACTTCTGGAGTGACAGTGCCCAAGGTTACCCTTTGTAAGAGGACTCCTAGGATCACCTCTGACTTCCCTCTGTATATCCAGGGCTCCAGGCGTAACTGAAGAGTACAAACACCACCCGTCTTGCCACCAGGCTCTCCAGTTGCAGCATCTGAGAAGTGTGATCCAGTGGTTGGTAAACCTCCCAGGAGCATCCCAGCAGATTCTCCACCAATAAATTGTGGCCCTCTGGCAAGTCAAATGACTGCCAGATTGGCTGGGAGTGGGAAGAGACACATATGTTTAACCTTTCAGACCGGAAAAGGGGAAACTCTGATTCACGAGGAGTCAGGCTTCGGAAAGAGCAGACCAGTTGTCATGGTTGATGCTTCCTGGTGTTCTGTAGTTGTCAATTGTTCTATTCCCAGAATTGGGAATCTATTTAAACAACACACACATACAACCTAGTCATGTGGATTTCCACTGAGTCCAAAGTCCAGAACCTGGGACAGTAATTTTTACAAGGTGATCACTGAACAAGTCTTGAAACTTGTTTCTCTTGTAGCAAAAAGAAGGGGGAAAAAAAAGGTTTTTAGATGCAACCTGCTACAATTTGTTCAAGAGACTAGCCATCTTAGCCTGTGAATATTTTCATTCTTAAAAGTTTTGACAATGAGGGTACAAGTGAAAGGAAGAGACAGAGAAAGAATAGTAATCAGTATAAACATGATTTCATTACTTTCATTACAGTTTCTATGATGGTAGTAGTCTTTGGGCTTACCTACCAAGCACTAAAGGAAGATTAGAGA